GGTCTTCACTGCTGTGAATCCTGCAATGACCATCATGACAACAGCCTGCTCCTTATATATTGGTCATCATGCACTACCAATTGAAAATATGTAATCGATTCCTTCCTGGATTTCTAGAGTAATGCACATGCCTTCCCCAATTTCTTCTTGTTTCTATATTCTTGAAAGTTTCACTCCATTCATTACAAACCTTGCATGGCATTCCTTTCTTCACCCCAATCTCGCATATATGCCGTGAAGCTAGCAAAGTAACAATATCTTTATGCTTCACATTTATTTTCAAATCAACTCCTCCTGAAGTGTCTTTATGGTCTTGGCTCTGAAAGGATGTTTCTCCTTGTAGGATGGGTTAGAACTCAGAGACAAAGTTTAAGAATAAGAGGTCCACTCTTAAGATGGAGATGAGGGCAAAATGTTTGTCTCAGATGGTTGTTAGCCTGTGAAATTCTCTTCCCAGAAAAGAGTGGTGGAGGTAACCAAATTTATTCAAGGCTGAGTTCGATAGATTTTAGGTGTATAATCAAGTCAAGGGCTATGAGGACGGGGAGGCAGACAGAGAAATACAGCTGAGCTCACAGCTACTGAGTTTGCCCAAATATAATGGAACATTGGGATATGTTTCTGTGATGTCACTACTGCCAGAAACTCTGTTTTCCTACAGATCAAGGATACAGCAACATGGAAGCTCACAGCAGAAATTACTACTAAGCTGTGTTAATGGCTGATGCTGCCATCTCCCAGATTGGCAGCACTTTTCCACAAAACCTTATACCTCACATCCTACGATTATTCAGGCAGTTGGGTCTGTTCCTGTTGATCAGCAGTGAGCATCTGACTGTGCATCCTACAATATGACTGGTTAAAATATCTGCATAATAATACCTTGAAGTAACAGCAAACACAGTAATCCAAATAATGATTGAAAAGCTTGGAATTTATACTGGCAGATTCATTTTACAGAGTTGGTCCTTAATAAAAACAGTAATCAAAGTTACAGAGGTGTGAAGAAGAAATCAGATAGTTGTGTTCACTGGTGAAATGGTTGTAATGAATGAAGTGGCTTTTTACTTGTACAAAGAAGTTATAAATAATTGAGCACTAAGGAAGGGATGCTAATCTCTGTTATTTATGAGTTTCCATGTTAATCTGGGGTGAAAGACCAGAGCTGTGTGGTGGTCTTGCCCCAGTTTGACAGGAATGATATGGACCCTGTGGGCAGGAGCAGGGGAGGGTTGCTGGGAAAGGTGTTACACAGGCTTACAAAGCAAAACAATTTGATGGCATTGCAGGACAACTGTTTTGATAATGTTATCCAGAAGAGAGGGTGTACAAACTTAGAAAAAATACAACAAATAGGGTCAGGAGGAGGAAAAGTTTAAACGCAAAATTAATGACTCTTTTTACTTATTCAATACAGAGAACAACAGAGAACAAAGAACAATACAGCACAGGAACAGCCCCTTCAGCTTCCAAGCCTGCGCCGACACATTTTATCCTTCCATACTAAAACTGTCTTCACTTACAGGATTCATATCCCTCTATTCCCTTCCTATTCATATACTGATTCAGGTGCTTCTTGTATGCTGCTATTGTGTCTGCTTCCACCATCTCCTCTGGCAGTACGGTCCAGGCACTCACCACACTTGGTGTGAAAAATTTGCCTCACACATGTCTTTTAAACTTTCCCCACTTGGACCTGTGTCCTCCAGTAATTGACCCTTCTACCCTGGGAAAAAGCCTCATACTCTCCACTCTATCCATGCCAGTCACAATCTTATAAACTTCTATCAGGTTGCCCCTCAACCTCCTGCGATTTAGTGCAAACAAACACAGTGTATCCAACCTTTCTTCATAGCTAAAATCCCCCATTGCAGGCAATATCCTGGTAAATATTTTTGTACTCTCTCCAAAGCATCCACATTCTTCTGGTAGTGTGGTGACCAGAACTGTAGCAATATTCCAAGGGTGGCCTAATTATAGTTCTATAAAGCTGCAGTATAACTTGTTTATCATTATACTCAATGCCCCTTCCAATGAAGGCAAGCATGCCACAGGCCTTTTGTACTACCTTATCTACCTGTGCTGCCACCTTCAGTGATCTGTGGACCTGCACATCTACATCACTCTGCATATCAATATTCGTAAGGGTTCAGCCATTCACTGTATAATTTCCACCTGTACTTGACCTTCCAAAATGCATCACCTCACATTTATCTGGATTAAACTCCATCTGCCATTTTTCTGCCCAGGCCTCCAACGGATCTATATCCTGCTGTATCCTCTGACAATCCTCCTCACTATCCGCAACTGCACCAAACTTTGTATTGTCTGCAAAGTTACTAATTAGACCAACCATATTTTCCTACAAATTATTTATGTAGGCCATGAACAGCAGAGGTCCTAGGACTGATCCCTGTGGAACACCACTAGTCACAACCCTCCATTCCGAAAAGCATCCTTCCACCGCTACACTCTGTCTTTATGACTAAGCCAGTTCTGTATCCAGAGATTAATGGGAATGATCTTATTTCCCGACTGCACCTCCTAAATTCAACCAGGTTCATTCTGGTAATATTAACCGCCATATTTGTTCTACAATACCATGCGGTTTCAGCTGTTCCATTGTGATGAAGGGGGGAGAAACTTTTTTTAAAAAACTGATGGTGTTATCAACAATTTAGTTTGTGTATATACAGTGGCTGCTAAAAATGTTTTAACAGAACAATAGAATCAAGATTGTGTTTGCTACTGTGGAGGTTTTACAACTATAGTTTCAAATTGCCAGCTGCCTCATCTTTGGCTATTCATCATCACAATTTTTCTGCAGTTTTAACACCTTTGTCTGCAGATAAAATATTATGCTCTCCCACAACTGCCCAAACGGCTCACATTTTTGTTTCCTCAAGTCCAACAAATGAAGAGTTGACCATATTTAGTATTCAACTGGGATATTTTCGCATGACTAGGTGAATGAGAAAGTATCACAGGCTCATCTTTCTCTCCTATAATCAACTAGTACTCCAGGATCATCCTGGAGAACAAATTATTTTCTTTATTTTAACATCACCATCACTCTCCTCAAATCTCTCTAGAATGCTTCTTACAACAGTGTCAGGAGCTTATGGATTTCTTTCTTACTTGCATTTGGATGTCACATTCAGTTGCCTCCTCCCTCTCTCCTCATGAAATTTCTCAGCTAAAATGCTCAGCCATATTCTATTATTTTCCATCTATTTTCATGCACTGAGTTCATATCATCTTGAAGATTCACTCCTTATTCTCTTAAGATCTTTCTAAGTGAACTACTGCTTCACTACTTGCTGGTATTAGAAGTGGCTTCTCCTCCTTGAGTCCTGTTGTCCTCATTTCCAGAAGCTCGATGGATCTCTTTTCCTGAAGAAAAAAATTCTGGAACCTCTTCTGTACTCAAAAACTATTACCCTGTCTGCTGCTAATATACAAGCATTTGTCACCTTCATACATGTGTTACGACTATTAAAGGAGGAGTGAGCTGGTAATCAAGCCACACACACTGTACCAAAAGTGTAGACGATTTATTTAATGTTTCTCTTTGTTACTGTTATCTAGAATAAAACAGACTTTTACCAGGTTTGTTCAGTAAACTCAAAATGACTCTTGGTTAAGCATAAGTTGTTCTGAAGAAATGTGACAAAATGGATTATTAATATGCTGCTATCCAGATTTAAACCAATATCCCTTTAATTCAAAACACTCATTCCTATACAGTAGCAATGTCACTGGACTGGTAATCCAGAATCCCAAGCTCGTTTACGAAGGACATAGGTTTGAATCCGACCAAGGCAGGTGGGGAAATGTGAACCAAAAACAAAACTAGAATTAACAAGCTAGCCTACTGGTGATCATGTAAATACTACCAGTTGTTAAAAAAAAATTCATCTGGTTTACTGATATCCTTTAGGGAAGGCAATCTGCCTGGTCTGGTCTATATGCAACTCCAGATCCACCACATTATGTGGTTGATTCTTAACTACTGCCTGGGCAATTAGGGATCAAGATTAAAGGCTGGCCTAGCCAGTATCATCCACATTCCATGAATGAACAAAAATGTGAAAAAACACAGTTCTGTTGAGATATTATAGGATTGAAAAATAAGCAGAAAATGCACTCCACTCCTGTAGTTCAAGGTTCAAATGAAGATAGAATAGGTTGACTTCTCACAGTTCCTTTGATTTTCTGTTGATAAGATCAGATTGGTATCAGTTGCAGAATGATGCAAAATCTTCAGACCAGATATCAGATTCAGATGGGAAAGAGGTTAGGAATCCTGATAATTTTATCAAGTATTTTCAAACTACTTCACCAAGAAAGTAAGAACATTTTAACCAGTTTTGCTTTAAGACTTATTCTCTTACAGAGAGCGAGACACATAACACTGCCTTTCCTATAAATCCTCTCCAACAATAGCCACTGCTCTAGTTGCATAGTGAAGAAACAATTTACTTCAGAATCAGTAGATACACAACTTTAAGAACAGATCCAAGGGTTTTCTACACCTGTTCATTCTGTAGTTAAGCTATCAAACCCATCTCTTATCTTTTCTTAAAAGCTTTGGAGGATAAACACCTTCTCTTTGACCTTTAACTTTTTGTTACCAAGAAATCACTTGATAAATCCCTCTTCAAATGCATGATGTCCAAACAGTTCCACATTCCAGTTTCTCAAAGTAGTTGTATATGCATTTCTAACATTTGATTATTCTATTGGTCTTTTGATTGGCATCACATCATCCATCCTGCATAAACTTCCACTCATCTAAAACTATGGTGCATCTACATAATCCAGTAAGTAGTCCAGGTCAAGTCTGTTCCCACTATTACCTATTCCTGAATTCTCCAACTGTCTGACTCCAGTATCTTATGAATCCCTCCTCACTTTGTCCCACAGTGTACCCAAGACACTGGATGCAAGTTATTACTGAAAAAGAGGTAACATTTAGCTTGATATTACGCATTAAATACCTTGTTACATGGGTATGTGACTTTGGGCAGGTTGCAGATTGAGTTCTAGATGTGCTCTTAGGTTTTGGCTTAACCACCGCTTGCACCTAAATAAAATATTTCAAATTGGAAATTGTGATTAAATATAGTTACAAAAATGTGCAAAAAGCAAAAGCTATAAGCTATTAAAATCAAAGTTAAACTGACAATATTTGAGGAAAAGAAACAAAGAAAAGGCTGGGAAAATAAGACTGTGAATCAGAATTATTTTGCTTAAAGTAAATTCCATTGAAGATGAAACTGGACGGTTACTTATTACATTACTGTCCAACGTTTAGCTTCATTCACTTCAATAAAGCTGAACATGTCCTATTACAAGAGGCAAAAATATTTTCCTGTTGTGTCCAGTTTCATCCACATTATGTACTTTTTGGTCAGAACTTTGTTCTAACAAACATTTAGCTTGATATTACATAATAAATACCTTGTTACATGGGTATGTGACTTTGGGCAGGTTGCAGATTGAGTTCTAGATGTAGCCTAACAAACAGCAAGCTATAATTTTAAAATACAATTCTTACTGTTATGCTTTATATATCTATGGAGCTCCTCACATTCAGAGAGACTTCAGAAAGGCATTACAAGATGAGAGAAAATGTTGGGACTAAGAAGACGGAAAATTATTACAGGCAAAGAAATATCTCCAAGGAGGTTTTGGAAGCAAGCAGAGAGATTGAGGGGTTTGGGATGGAGCTCCAAGAGGCCAGGGTATAGGATAACATTTCCCCCTGAATGATGGATTCCTGCACTGTTTCTAATTGCTTCCACTGCTCCACCTTTGCCAGTCAGATATTCTATCGCTCATTCACTGCTGCTTAGTCTGCAGATATTGAGAAAACACTAACCTAACCCTATGTCACAAAGTCTGGCTGGATACACTTAACACTAGGCTGAAGTCTACTTGTTGTTAGAAAAGGTTTCAGTATATCTTCATTATTGTTTAAATATGTCCCAAAATAATTCTGTAGCAAAATGGAAACTAATTATTTTTCACTATTCACATTTTTTGGGTAAGAGGTAGAAGATGGTTCTAGGGATTCATTATCATCCTTCGTTATCATTATCATCCATTAACAGAACTAACAATTTCTTCACAAAGGGGAACAAACAACTAAATTTATACTGCACCTTTAAAATAACAAACCATCTTAAGGCTCTTTACAGAAGTGCATTAAAGAAAAATTTGACACTTAACCATATTTGGAGATATTAAGGCAGTTGGCCAAAAGCTTGGTCAAAGAGAGAGATTGGTCATAAAAGCAGAAATTGAAGTTGAGAAGCAGTGAGATTTAAGGAGAGCTCAGGATCTAGGCAGCTGAAGACATAGCAGCCAATGATGGAGCAGTTAAGATTGGGGACATTCAAGGAGGACAGAATTAGAAGAATGCACAAGTCTAAAGATTGTGGGGCTGGAGGGGATTGCAGTGAAAGTAAGGGGTGGAAGTATGAAATAATTCAAAGACAAGGATGAGAATTTTTAAATCATGCATGGCTTGGGAAGGAGCCAATGGGAATCATTGAGCACAGAGGTAATAGATGATGAACAGGACATGGTTCAAGAAAGGACATCAACAAAATTTTGGATGACATCAAGTCTCTGGAATGTGGCATGTTGGAGCCTGGCCAGGAGTACACTAGAACAGTAAAGTCTGGAGGGACCAAAAGAATGAATGAACTGAGATGAACTGAGGTAGTAGCAGAGACAGGCAATATTACACAGGTCGAAAATAGGCAGTATTGGTAACTGTGCAGATATATAGTGTGAACTATGACATCAAACATGAGATTGAGAGTTGCAAGCAGTCTGAATCAGCCTCACAAGAATGGAGTCAGTAGCTAGTGATTGGAGTTCATGTAGGCACCGAAGACAATAGCTTCAACCTTCGTACTTCCTGGATAAGTACAGCTCCAACACGCTCAAGAAACTTGATAACACCCAGGACAAAGCAGCCCACATGATTGGGACCTCAACCACAAACATCTACATTACCCCCTTAACTGATGCTCAGTAGCAGCAGTGCATACCATCTACTAGATGAACTGCAGAGATTCATCAAAGATTTTAAGACAGCATCTTCTAAACCCAAAACCACTACAATCTAGTAGGACAAGGACAGCAGATAAATGGGAACACCATCACTTGCAAGTTCCCTAAGCCACTCACTATCCTGACTTAGTAATATGTCAGTGTTCCTTCAATGTCATTGAGTCAAAATCTATGAACTTCCCCCAAGAGCATAGTGTGACTACTCACAACAGATTGTAGCAGTTCAAGAAGGCAGCTAACTACTACCTTCTCAAGGACAACTAAAGGCACGCAATAAATGCTGGCCCAGCTAGTGACTCCTATGTCTTGTGAGTGAATAAAAAAAAATTATATTAGAGCAAACTTCTGCCCATCAAGTGCTAGACGTTGTGCTGCTGCAGGCATACATCTGTTATTGCCCCAATAAAGATATCCAAATGAAACTAAATTACCAACATCTTTTCAACACATCACAATTTTGTCATTTAAAGTTAACATAAAACTGAAGTAACCAGAGATAAATGCCATCTAACATATATGCCTGTACCTTGGGCATTGTGACAAGCAGATGTCCTGTGGTTTGGGATCTCTTGGCAGAACTGCTGTCAGGTTTTACTTCTTCTGGAAGCACCAGTTGAAACACCTAAAATTAACATTGAAAACAATGTAATATACCACATCAAAATTATTTGCTGTCATTATTTCCATTGAAATAAATTACAGACTAAGTTGCCTCATTAGACAGTATGATTTGTTCCCGAACAAAGCTAATTAATAAGTACAGAATTGTATAAGGATGCCAATACTTACTTTTTAAAAAGTATGAATTATTTTGCTTTGGTGGAAAAGTAGAGATGATTTTCCATCACAGAGACAAACTATAAAGTGATACAATTTGATCTAACAAGAATCTTGTGCATCAATGGGGAGTGATAGCATAATGGCAGTGTTACTAGACTACAATACCTGAACTAATGCTCCGAGACAGGCATTCAAATCCCACCAAGGCAGCTAGGGGAGTTTAAATTTGATTAAAATAAATCAGGAATTTTAAGAAGTGTTTGTCTTAATAATGATAATTATGGAACTACTGGATTGTCATAAAAACCCATGTAGCCTCATATTCACTAATGTCTTACTTTGTCTAGTTAACATGTGACTCCACACCCACAACAATATGGTTAGCTCATAAATATCATGTGAAGTGGTCTAACAACTCAAACAATTGCATCAATCTACTGCAAAACGCAGATTAAATTAGACAGATGAACCAGCATTGACCTAAGCATCAGATATAACAAAGTTGCATGCTGCCCAACTCACCCTCCAAAGTTATCACCATTAAAATTTAGGGACTTGTGACAAAAAAAGGGAGCTGGCCTCAAGATTATTCGAGCAACAGCTTGACACAGACATACTCATGGAATGATATCTTGCTGATAGATTCATTAGAAGATTGTATAATTACTGCACTACTGTCAGGCCAGAATGCTCCTGGGAGTCCTAAATATTGATTCTGGACCCTGTACAGTCTCTTGGCATCAGCACAGAAAGAAAACCTCTTGCTGTGTGCACATACCAACCCCTCACCATTTCAGCTTATTAATCAACACTCCTTTATATTGAACACCACCTGAAAGAAGCACTGATAATCACAACTTAGAGCACATAATTTATTTTAGGTGTGGGATTTCCCAGAAGGGAAAAACAGTTAAAAAAAAAAAAAAGTAATATTTGGAAATGAATTTAACTAGGCATACTGGAGCTCCACTTTGAAAAAAGCAAGCGGAGTTAGATCAGTATGTGTCATTTGCAAATTTTACTGCTTTTTATTTTTGGACCATCGATCAAAAGGCAATACTATTACTGACCTCACAGGTTGATCCTGAAGGATATGTGTCAAGGGCAATTAAGGATAAATAAATGCTGGCCTTGCCAGCGATACTTATCCCTATGAGCACATTTTAAAAATCTGTCAATCTGACCCCATGGCAGATGTAAGACAGCTAAAATGGCTTGACCTAATTCTCACCAAGCTATCTATTGCAAATGCATTTATATTATACAGCACAAATAGGGACAAAGCTTCATCTTTACATTGAGGACACCCTCCATTGTGTTGGATGATATTTCCACTGTGCAAAAATGAGATTTATTCATAGTAGATTGAGCAGCTCAAAACTGAGCATCCACGACATGCTGTGGGTTATTGGCTTTAGCAGACTTATTCAACCACAGATTATACCCTCATTGCCCAACATATCAAAAATGTGGGATTAAGGAGGGGGAGTTGGGTGTCTTGAAAATCATTAAGATGGATAAGTTCCCAGGGCCTGATAGCATCTATCGCAGGATACTGAGGGAGGGAAGTGGGGAGATTGCTGGAGCCTTGACAGAAATCCTCTTAAGCCACAGGCAAGGTCGCAGACGACTGGAGAATAGCCAGTGTTGCTCCTTCGTTCAAGAGGGGCAGTAGGAATAATCCAGGAAATTATAGGTCAGTGAGTCTTATATCAGTGATAAAGAAATTATTTGCAAACTGTCTTAGGGACAGGATTTACTCGCATTTGGAAAAGAATGGATTTATTAGGGCTAGTCAGCACAGCTTTGTGCGGGTAAGGTCTTGTCTCGCAAAGTTAATTTGAGTTTTTTGAGGAAGTGAAGATGTTGATGATGAGGGTGAGCACTGGATGTTGCCTGTCTAATGCTGCTGAATGCCTACTCCATATGATCTGCAGCATTTCAAGAAGGCAGCTCACCACCTTCAAGAGCAATTAGGGATGGGAATTTCTCAAGAACAGATTAAAATAAACGTAAGTTTGTTCACTGTCTACTAAAACACAGAAATTAGTACAAATGTTGCTACCTTGAGGATCTAGATGACAAAGTTTGATGACTCATGCAATTGATCAAGGTCAGTATATCCATTCTTCAAACACAATACCCTCCCAACTGAATCATTAGCCTCAGACACTGCTCACATATTTAGCACTGCTACAAATCTCACACCCACATCTCTTACATTCCCAGTTATTTAACCATGCTAACCATATCACTCCAAATGATTGCAACATTTTAATCAACGTCCTTTCCCCTCTCTGGCAGGAGAGGGTATGATGTAAGCATTGGCAGTACCACTTAATCAGCAGGGACAGGAATAAAAGTACTGTCTTAGCACTCTATAATTATGTCTAATCCACTTTTTCACATTCTACTTCCTTCTCAGATGGTATAAATTGCACCTCTCATTTTCCAACTTCCGGTGAAGTACAACACATATCATGCTGTATTATGTTGCAAGGCTGCAGGACCCGATGAATACCAGATATTCCACATAGGCTTCCAGTGGCTGTACAACCAAGATCATATAGAGGACAACCAAGTAACTTAGAAGTGGTGAAAGGCTAATCCAAATAACCATTAGAGGCTGGAAATGAGATACCAGTGCCAGCACCAAATGATTGCATGGCAGGTGTTGACACACCATATTTAAATTGCTGCCAGCTTGGAATTCTTTGCTGCCTAGTTTGAAAGAGTGCTGTGCTGACTAATCTGATGACTGCTCTTATGCTTGACTGTCTCAGTGACCCCTCGTTATCTGAAAGTAGCCTATATGCAAGCAACTGAACAGGAATTGCAGCAACCATGGCAGAAGGAAGACCCCAGGAGCCCCACAGATCAGTGATACCTCCCTGTAGGTGGTCTTATATGCTGCAAGACAAAGTGAGTCACTTACAAAGGTACTGGAAGAAACTGACCCACCTGACAAAGTAAGCCTGGATGGAAACTGCAGAGGAGATCACTAATGGTGGGCTCAATCTCCAAACCTAGATGCAGTTTTGTAAATGCATCAAAACTCTACCACAGTGATGGTGGCACAGTGGCACAGTGGCTGGCACTGCTGTTTTACCGGTCCAGGGACCCAGGTTCAATTCCAGCCTTGGGTGACAGTCTGTGTGGAGTTTGCGTATTCTCCATATGTCTGCATAGGTTTCCTCCTGAAGTCCAAAGATGTGCACGTTAGGTGGATTGGCCATGCTAAATTGCCCTACAGTCTCCAGGGATGTGCAGGCTAGGTTGGTTAGCCATGATAAAGGTCGGGTTACAGGGGTGGGTCTGAGTGGGATGCTCTTCTGAGGGTCGGTGCAGACTCAATGGGCTGAATTGCCTCTTTTTGCACTGTAGGGCTTCTATGATTCACTTTCTTCTCTAAAGCTTACATGTGGGATTGAATGAAGATGTCTGACAAGGTGTGACCACTAACCTGTATGCAAGAGCATCAGGAACCACTATATCTCATCGGAAGCATAACTGAATTTCAATGGAAGGCAACCACGTGACCTGCACAAGTGCCAAGAGAGTTGCATTATGGAGAAGGCATTACATTATAGACCAATCAGCTGCTACTTATATTGGTGTTCGTCGATGATCGCAATTATTTTTAGCACGTTTTGCACATCTTCAGACGCTGAAGCTTTCCATAGGCAGCAAGACCTGGACAACATCCGGGGCTGAGCTGATAAATGGCAACTAACAGTCACATCACATAAGTGCTAGGTAATGGTCTAAAAAGAGAACCTGACCAAGTCACCTTGATTCAATAACATTACCATTGCTGAATTCCCCACTATCAACATCCTGGGAATTAGCATTGACCAGAAACTGAACTGGACCAGCCACAGAAATACTGTAGCCATAATAGCAAGTCAGAGTTTAACATTTCTGTGGTGAATAACTCACCACCTGGCTCCACAAAGATGGTCCACATTCTAAAAAAAGCCCAAGTGGGAATGGTATGGAATACTATACACTGGCCTGGATGAGTACAGCTCCAACAGCACTTGAAAAGCTTGATACTATCCAGGACAAACAGCCTGCAATGATTGACACCTCGACTAACCCCTTAATGTTCACACCCTGCTACTACTGTTACGGCAGTCTGTGCCACTTACAAGATGCAGTGCAACAATTACCCAGGCTCCTTAGACAGCACCTTCAAACCTTCAACCTCTATCACCTAGTAGAATAAGAGTGCCAGATACGTGGGTACATCACAACTTGCAAATTTCCTTGCAAGACACATCCTGACTGAAGTATATTAGCATTCCTTTACTGTCATTGGGTCAGAATGCTGGAACTCCCTAACTCCCTCTCCAGCAGGGCACATGGATCATAGTGGTTCAAGGCAGATCATCACCATTTTGCCAAGGGCAATTAGGGATGGGCAATAAATGGCAGATGGCAGAATTCCAGCTCAACAAAACAAAATACTAATGTTAAAAAAAGCACACCGTACTGTAATATTAGAAATTCCACAGATCTGTGAGAAGAACATTCTGTGTGTATTATTTGAAGCATGCATATTGTAGTTGGTTCGCTCACCGAGCTGGTTCGTTGTTCCTCAGATGTTCCATTACCCTGCTGGATAATATCATCAGTGCAGCCTCTGATGAAGTGCTAGGGATAGTAGGAACTGCAGATGCTGGAAAATCAGAGATAACAAGGTGTAGAGCTGGATGAACACAGCAGGCCAAGCAGCATCACAGGAGCAGGAAGGCTGACGTTTCGGGCCTAGACCCTTCATCAGAAATGATGAAGGG